AAAATGTTCTATTTTAATGTCAATTTATTAGTGTGTTCTTTTCTTGTCTTCCTGCCTTTTTGTCCTAAGCAATTCTTAACTAATACACAGTCACAGGGTTTTCTCTGTAGCTCTTACAGTTAGGCCTATGATACAGCTGATGTTAATTGTGTACTGTGTTACAGTAAGGGTTATGGTTTGTGTTTCTCCCTATGACACTCGAGCTTGTTCTAGATAATTTGTTGTGATGGTATTTTCCCTATAGTACTGATTTGACATCTTCATTAAAAGTCTCTCTCGGGGTTGGGGATTTAGCTCCGTGGTAGAGTGCTTGCCTAGCAAGCACAAGGCCCTGGGTTCGGTCCTCAGCTCCAGAGGGGGGAAAAAGTCTCTTATTTTTCTCTATGGACCCATTTCTGGTCCCCTTTGTTTTTAGGCCCCGTGGTCTGCTGTGTCCATGCTAATGTGTTTGCTCTGTTTTCTTCAGTACTTAGAAGATTCTAAGAGCTCCATTCTCTTTTGTCTTAACAGCACCAAGACAGATGTCACATGCATAAAATTCACTGTCTCCAAGTGTGCAGTCCATATTTTTGATATATCTAAAAACATGCAGCCATTTCCATCAGATAATCTCATCACTCTAGGAAGAATGTCCGTGTTCTTTTTAACTACCCCCCCACCCCCCCACCTCACCCCACCCCGCTTCCCTTGTGCCCCAGGAACTCCCAGTGATCTGCTTTGTCTCTGCCTCTTCTAAACATTTCATCAATGGAATTAGACAGCATGTGGCCTCTTAGATCTTGTCCCTTTCACTTAGCCGTGTTTTTGGGGTTCATCTGGGTATTACCATGAATTCTTTATATTGTTTGTGCAAACTAGCATTCCATCCTATGGATAGCTTTTTCTTGATATTCTCTGGTGTTTCCATTCTGGGGATTCTGAATATTGCCATTTGCATTAGTGTGAAGATGGGTTTAATGCCTTCAGGTCTACACCTCAGAATTGCTGGGCCATGTGGTAACCCTGTTGAAGAGGCCAGGCTTTTTGATTGCACCATTTCCCAGTTCCACAGTTCATGGCCATCCAGCAGCCAGGAGGGTGGGGAGTGCTTGTCTTTGATGGGCCTTTCCAGAAGGATTGTGCTGCATTGCTGTTTGTCTTTTCATGTGCTTACTGGCCTTCCGGAGAACTGTCTAGATCCTTTGCTGATTTTAAAATTAGTCTTCTGTTACTGAGTTCTGCCTACTAGCCTATAGTCAGATGGATGATTTGCAAATGGTTTCTACCATCCTTGGGGTTGTCTTTCCATTCTTCTGACCTTGGCGGCTTTGATTTTGGTGAAGTACAGTTATTTGTTTTCTCCCTTGGTTGCTTGTGCATCAGTGTAGCTAAGAAACCATTGCCTAAGCTAAGTCATAAAGATTCACACTTGTGTTTTCTCTCAAATTTTTTATAATTTTGCCTCTTGCACTTAGGTCATTACTTTAACCGGGATTAGTTTCTGTGTTGTGGAAACTTAGCTTCATTCTGTGGTATGTTGACAGCCAGTGTCCCAACACCGTTCTGTTCTTCTGTATACCATCTTGCATCTGGTTGAAAATGACTATGAATGGGTGTTTTCTTCCTGAGCTCATAATGTTTTCCATTGCTGTATGTCTGTCCTAATGCCAATACCACATGGTTTTAATAACTATATATTTGTGGTATGCTTTGAAGCTCAGACCTAGGGCTTTTTGTTTGTTTTCAAGATAACATCTCACTGTGTAGCTCTGGCTGTCCTGGAACTTTCTCTGTAGACCAGACTAGCCTTAAACTCACAGAGATCTGCCTACCTCTGCCTCCCAGGTGCTGGGTTTAAAGGTATACACCATCATCGCCTGGCTCAGACTTTTTAGCTTTGTATGAAAAGTTAGTTTGTACTTGACCTTGTACTTGTATGGAATGCCAGTTTGTAAGTGTCAATACACATCTCTGTAGTTAGTAAATGGCAGCAGGAACCTCAGCTGAGCGTCTACTGAGTTGTTGACAGCTGGCTTGGCTCTCTAGTGTTGTCACAGATATTAGACATCCCTTTGGCTGTGGAAGTACCCTCACATATTAAACAAGTGGCCAACCACTGAGCTCCATGACCGAAGTGTACAGTTCTTCAAGACTGTCCCATGGACCCACTTGTGAACGTTAATGCCACATTCTCAGTACCCTATTAACTGCTCTTCTTAGTGGGTGTCACTCTGCCAGGTCCAGACCTGAAAGCTACCCTTAATGATTCTAGCCTTTGTGGTTCTGTTTAAAAAAGACTTGATACATCTCAACTTACAGAATTTTTCACCTGTGTTTTCTCCTAATACTTCAATGTTTGGTTCATTTAAAAAATATCTAAATTTTAATCCATCTGTAACTTTCAAAACTACAGGATTTTTTATTCTGTACAATTCTGAGGAGCATCTTAGGTGGATTTTTGCTTTTGGAGAAATGAATTGCTTAAGCTTTTTGATTCCCATTGAGTCAAGAAATTAACAATCAAAAAGCATTTGAAATCATAAATTAAAAAGGCAATGGAACTGGGGAGATGGTCTAGCTGGTCAGATACTTGCCACACAAGATGAAGGCCTGAGTTCAGATCCCCAGCATTCACATAAAAAGTCAGATCCGGCCACCTGTGTCCAGTCTCGCAGTTCTGTAGAGGTGGAGACAGGCAAATCCTGGGAGCTCTCGACCATCCAGACATCTCGGGGAACTGATAAGCTCCAAGTTCAGCAAGTTACTCCATCTCTAAAAGTGAAGTGGAGAGTGATTGAATCGACTTCTGGCTTCCATCCACCTGTATGTAAGTGCCTGTACACACGGAAGCACATGTACACATCATACCACCCAGACACACTTCAAAAGAAGAAAGTAATTCCACATAAAAACTTCTCGGAGTCATCTGATACGTGATACATAGGTTGAGCACAGAGTGAGAAAAATAAGCTTGTTATTGAAACTACGTAATCAGCCTTTTGATGTTCTTGCATCAGGATTTGGCAGTGATGAAATGATGCTCGTTACCATGGTAGCTCTCATGGTGTGTGGGCTGTCATGTTAAACAGAGTTACTTCATCTTCACAGTAGCCCAGTCCGAAGACTGGAAGGAAGAAAAGGGGAGGTTAAGGGTTTGCCCGAGCACAGGCCTCTGGAAGCTACAACTGAAGGCAGGCCTGTGATGATCAGGAGTCCTGGCTCCAGAAAGAGTTTCCGTGGAGGAACAGTGGCAGGCGAAGGCTGGCAGGGTCTGAGTCTAGGGAATGCCTAGCACCGGCTGTGTCCTCTCCCTTTGGTCTTGATGGAAGTTATAGGAGTTACTTTTGTGTCACTGTGGTAAAAACACACAACCAAGCAACTTACAGAGGAAGAGCTTCCTTGGGCTCCATCACAGGGGAAAGGTAGCAGCAGGTAGGCATAGTGGCCGAAGCTGGAAGCTGAGGGTTGACATTCAGAACCACAGGCAGGAAGCAGGGTGAACTGGGAATTGGTGTGAGGCTTCAAGGCCCACGCTGAGTGATGGATTTCCTCCAATAAAGCCGGCCCTGAAACTTATCCAGACAGCATCACCAACTAGGGACCAAGTAGTCAAGTGCCTGAGACTCTGAGCGGGAGGGGCATCTTATTCAAACCACGCCAGCAGCCAACAGTGAGACTCATAACAGGCTGCCCCGTGGAACACAGGAAGCTAGGTTGTCACACAGAGAAAGGGCAGATGTGTCCAGGACCTTGGGGACCCTCTACTTCCAGAGGTTGTGTGGAAACCTTCAGACTCAGAGAAGTGGCTTTCCTCATTGCTCTGGCAAAAT